CAAGGCAATTAGCAGTGGAATGTGTTGAGGTCCGTGGGAATTGTTGCAAAGCGGCTCTTGGCAGGTGGTGACGGTTCCGGCGGGCCTGTCATTCCACAAGTTTTGAAAATTTCAAAAAACACATAAGGGGGACCCTTATGTGATTTTTTTCGATCAAAAAATTTTTTTCGAGTTTTTTTGATCAAACAGACAAACAATCCAAAAAGCACAAAAAATAGAACATTGTATTGAGAGCTCAAAATTCGGTTCAAAATGATAAAATTTTTGCTGCCGGGAAAATTTTCCTCAGGCCCGGCCCGGCCCGGAATTTTACAAGTATGTTTCTAGCAATTATCTTTAGATATGATAATACACCTACATTACAACTTCAACATATCCCTCCTGACATCCATGTCTGATGTATTCGGTGATTTTCTCTGATCTTCCTAATGTTTTAGGACTTCCTCCACACGCAAGGCAAATTCCGCAAATGATAGAACTCTTTCCACTTCCGTTATGACCCAAAATCATATTCAGACTTGCTGTAGGAATGAATGATGTATGCTCGTATGTACTGAAACATAATTGAGTTGAATTGTCGAAATTATGAACAAACTTACAGGAAATTGTGAAAAACCACCCGAAGAAGGGATCCATCTGGAAAGTCTTGATAATTAGGAGGAAGTAGCTCCTCACTGGGATCTTGTGGCATTAGAACCTATAATTACGATGTATTAATTAAATGTATGCAGATCGATTCAGCGAATTCAAGAAGAAAATCTATTTCAGAGAGAAAAAAAGTTAGCATGCGAAATTGTTTTTTGAAAGCGCAACTGAAATCAGGCAGAGCGCGTTTGTATGCAGGCGAAGCGAAATTCAGCAAGTCACTTTAGGTGTGATTTCTGAAGCGCACAAAGACATTTTTAGTGAAAACTTTCAACAAAAAAGTTGCAGCGAAAAAGTCGATTCAGAATTTGAATCCGTTTTTACGAGCAAACCCGTAAGAATTCTTAAAGGTGCAACCATGGATGATCGCTTTTTTTCACGAAATTTTTTTCTGAATCAATTTCCTGAATTTGAAAGATGTACTGTTTTTCTGCCAGACTTCTGACAGCCTTATCAAAGTATGGAAGCAATGGAAAAGGAAGTTTCGTCAGCAACATGGACCAGACAGTTCCCGAGATATTTCATCTTGCATCTATTGAAAGTTGTTCGGATCTCTAACATAAAAATTGTTTTTCCAACTTCAAGAACTTCCGTTTTCAGTTTTGCTACTGAAATAAAAATAATAACAGTGCAAACTAAATCTTTCCAGTTGTGATCACGAAAACAAATACAGAGATATTCTCCTGTCGGATAAAAAAAAACCAAACGATTCCAATAAACTATTTAGCGATTATCTAGACGACGTCAGATGGTTAACCTGTTGAAATAAAAGAAAAAGTTCAGTTTGTTACCGACGATGATGACGTTCCTAATCGAAAAACCATCGACCGTTAAGCCCCGTATATAAAAAGAAGAGAACCGAATCTGTTTGGAAATAAAATACAATATTGCAGATTGAAAAATAAAGAAACATGTTTATTGCTCTGCTACTCTCTGTTAGAATTATTTCCATATTGTCAATAACCGAAGAAGATTTTGATCTCGTTTTTGTACAAGCTGTATGTCTTCTTTTAATTCGTTTCCATGTTTTTAACTGAGTTTTTTTCAGCTTTGGAGACATGGGAATAGAGCCGCACAGTATCCGTATCTCAATGATAAATTTGCTGAAAATGATTGGAATTCAATTGGAAGTGGTATTGGACAGCTAACATATGTAATAAACTAAATTGGAGTTTTGTAATATACAAGATTAACTTCCAGAAAGGAGTGAGACAACATATTGAATTGGGAGAATCTATTCGGAAGAGATATATTGAATCTGGATTTTTGCCAGAAATTTTTGATGAAGAAGTGGTGAGACTCAACTTGGTAACATTGAATTTTTCATTAGTTCTCAAATTCCAGGTGGTTTTCCGTTCCACCAATCGAAACCGCACAATTCTATCCGCTAAAGCAAATTTCCTTGGAATGTATCCCAAAAAGAATGGAGAAGAAATAAAACTTCCAATCATTGTTCTCGAAAATTATGGAAACGATTGTATTAATAATGTGATGTGCAAGTGTCCAAGAAGAGATATACTTCAGAATTTGGCAAAAGATTTGGATGAATATAAAGAAGTAGTTGAAGATCAATCTGTAAGTTTTTGAAAAATAATTATTTTCAATTTTCACCTTCTGAATTTTTCAGACGATTTCTCTTTTCTCAAAACTCTCAAAAGTTGCTGGGGAAACTATACATGCCGAGAATTTTTGGAGATTGCCAGACACATTGCGATGCGAGAAACAGAATTTTCCGGATTCGTTTGAACAAAGGACTCCATGGTACTCCGAAGAATTACTAGAAGAAATGGAAGCCCTGAATACAAAAATCAATAGATTCACATCTGGATTATATGCTTCTCCTGAAAAACCGAATAGACTAGATATTGGAAAAGAAATCAGAAAGCTACGATGTGGTCCTTTGATATCCGATATTTTTGGAAGAATGCTACAGAAACTGGACTGCATATACTCTCAAAATAGAGCAGGAAGGTCCAGTGGTTGTTCAGAGAAAACCTGGAAGATGAAGTACTACGCCTATTCTTCGGTAAGTATATAATTTAGAAAAGAAGAAGAATAACCATGTTATTAATTTTTTCAGCACGACATGACCCTATATTCTTTGCTAACTGCTATGGGTCTTGAAGACCTCACTTCGATGGAAATCGGAAGTTGGCCATCATATGCATCTTCACTGTTTGTAGAACTTTTCATTCGAAAACAAGACAAGAATCCTTATTTTCGGGTAAGTTACTTGTTGGTTTTAAATTAAAATTTAAAATTTCTTATATTTCAGATTATCTACCGTAATCCTTCATCATCTTATGCGCCAACAGAATTCTTCAATCTCACTCCATTAATTCCAAAATGCCATGAATCATCATTCTGCCATCTCAGTATTCTGGAGAACGTATTCAAAGAGTTCAACATTGGAATGCCGGTATCTGAATTTTGCCACGTCACCAATGATCTCGAATTGTGATCTAAATTGCCATATTTTGATAGAGCTAGAAAGTGGAAAAAATAAATTATTTATTTTGGGTGTATTGAGTTCAAATTTTTGGAACTGCCTCTTTGCATAATCTCCTTTCAGGTGCACATGACAAAACACTACTATTTTCAGTTCCCAAAATGTCATTCAAAAAACACCTGAATATTTTTTTGATCAAATATTTGATATTTCGACTATCAGATCATCAATTGTCCGAATTCAAAAATTCGAAAATTTTGAAGCAAATAAAAAGTTTGACATGATCGGGTGCGTTAAACCAATACAGAGATTTCATATTTTAGGTCGATGTCGCTTTACAACTAGATATGTTCTTTTGGATATGTCGACATAAATCTTTTTTGTTTAACGAATATCACTTTGTTTCGTTGACTCTTTCTGTTCAATTTTTCCGGTCTTCTTCTTTTTTTTCTTCAATTTTCAAAACTTAAAACTATAGCCTAAATTAGGACTTTCGTTCTGATTCCTTCGCCTTTTCTTTGTTATCCAACGTCAGTAATACGCTATTTCTCACAGTTTCGCACAAATGCGATTTGTATTTTTCGCTGTCATTTCAAGTGCTTTCTTTTATGAAGTTTCTACAAACACAAATGATGTTGTACCGAAGGAGATGGAACTCATTTTTGTGCATACTGTAAGTTACCGTATTTCTTCGAATAGACGCTCACCCAAACTGTCAACTTTGAGCTCAATTATCTCGATTCCTGTAAAAGATATCAAAATTTTGTGAACTGAAAAAATATTTGTCATGATATTTATCACCAATATTTTATCAGTGAACAAGTTTTTGATATCTTTAGCAGGAATCGAGATAGTTGAGCTCAAAGTTGGGTGAACTTCTATTAGAGGAAATACATTACATATACTGTAAATGGGAAAGCTGGAATCGAATATTCTAGATTTGGAGACACGGAGATCGAAGTCCAGATGGACACCTGAATAATGACCCTGTGGATCCAATGAGATGGATCAAAGGAGGAGGTGGATATGGTCAGCTGACTCCGGTAGGGATATTTTCAAAGTTATCCGTCAGTTGTATTTTGTTTCAGGAAGGCATGGAGCAGCAGTTCATTTTAGGAAAGAAATTGAGAGATCTTTATGTCGAAACTGGATTCTTACATAATTTTTACGATTCTCAGCAGGTGTGTAGGTTCACATTAATCAACTTTAATTTTTTTACTAAGGATTCTTCACAAAGTTTTATTCTCAGATTTACATACGATCGACTGATGTGAATCGTACAATTAATTCTGCTATCTCAAACATGTTAGGAATGTTTTCTTCATCCTCTTCCAGACCTGGTTATTATATTTACCCATATCTGAAAACTTCCAAATTTTCTAGGTGTGGACTATCCTGACATAGAAGGATGGCCACGTGGATTCATGCCGGTCCCAATTCACAGCTCAGGCCCAGCTAACCAAGATTGCGTAGCTAATGCATTTTGTAGTTGTAAACGGAGGAATGCTCTTCTCGAAATCGCACACGAGGGAGAACAATTTCAGAATTACATTCACAGTGAACCAGTTAGTTTCAACGACGAATCGAAATAACCTACACATTTTGTTACAGTATATCCGAATAACTTCACAAGTGTCTGAACTTTTCAACAATACATTTACATGGGATAACCTATGGAAAGTGCACGACGCGGTTATGATTCAAGTGTGTATAATAAATCAATATGTTATTTCTTTAAATCGATACCATTTTCAGTTAATACACTTTCCCGAAGCAGTCCATAATCAAAGTTGGTTTTCTGAAAACTTTTTCGAAGAACTGGAGGAATTGGAACGTCCATCAAAAGCATTTGTTTCTGGTCTTTACGATCCACCAATCGTGAAAGGAATCAATGTTAGAAGAGAAATTCTGAAAACACGCGGTGGTTCTCTCATTAATGACATCTCCGGAAGAATGAGAACAAAATCGACATGTGCAAGAAACCCTCTGAAGTGTGATAGTTACCATGAAAACCTCAAATACTTTGCTTATTCCACAGTAACAAAAACTCTTGAAATGGAAATTAAATTATTTATTGCAGCACGACCACACCGTTTACGCACTTCTGGCGATTCTTGGATTAGAAAGTATCGTTGACGGTCCTGAAAAATATGGAGAATGGCCCGACTATGCGTCAGATATCCTCGTCGAACTCTTTCACAACAGCACTGACCGGTCACCTTATTTTAGAGTCCGTTTTTTCATTTAGATACATTTCCTACCACTGTTTTCAGATACTGTATCAGAAGAATATCAATCATACGTTCGAAGTAATCACTCCTCAAATAAAAAAATGCGAACATCGACAATTCTGCAGCCTGAATGTGTTCGAACACTACGCTAAAGAGTTCAGGCCAGATCGACCGATTCAAGAATTCTGCCAAACACCACCAGGAGAAGACAACCGCATCGCAACATGGATCAACAACAATCTACTCCGACGGACAGAGCCATCATCAGCTAGTTATAACTTCGAAATAAATTTAATTTCCTTGATATTGCTTTTGATCATAACATGAAACTTTTTTTTGAAACAACAATTTATTTCAACAACAATAAGACCAGAGCTTATTCGTGGTCGCTTCCGTTGTCCTCTCCGTCGTTGATGTGGAAGTATCTGACCTCATAGGTGTTCTTGTTGACGGCGACCACACGGAGCCAGTCACGGAGGGAGTTTCTCTTAAGGTACTTCTTGGTAAGGTACTTGAGGTATCTGAAAATGAAAATGTTGTTAAAATTTATAAAAAATCCAAAACTGTACCTCTTGGAGAATGGGATCTCGGAGACGACGGAAACCTTGGATTTTCCGGCCTCGACCTTAACGTTGTTAGCGGCCAAATGTCCGGTTTTTCCGTTGACCTTGATCTTCTCATTGAGGAAAGCTTCCTGAAAGCAACCAGGACTTACTAGGGGCCATTTATACCCTAAGCCTGGTCATTGCGATAGAGACGGGTGCTCTATCGACTAGATTAGGCTGGCTTTTTAGCCTAAACTTACAAGATCCTCGATTCTAAGGATTCCGTCCTCAACTGGGTTCTTGCACTCAACGTTGAACTTGAGATGCACCTTCTTCTTGCGAAGAGCCTTCTTGGTAGACTTGGCGTGTGGCTTAGCGACCATGATTACCTGAAAATATAAATTCGTATTAGTGGCTTGAAAGACATTGATAATTTAAGAAAACCCCGTTGAAATTAACACAATTCTTAACGAGAAAAGAGATAGAAAACAGCAAAAATGAACGAAAAACTGGCTTGGCCCAAAAAATTAAGGGAGGGAGAAGCGAGGTGTCTTGCCGCGGCGGGAGACTACGGTAACACTCGTTTCAGCTGTGTCCGTCTCGTATTACTACACTTCTTTTTTTCGTCGAAAGCGACGAGGCAGCAAAAAAAAGCCAAAAAAAAAACGTTTTTTTTATGGAAGAACAAAAAAGCAATGGTTAAATTCTAAATTAAGCTCTTTTTGTTAATAAATCGTAATATTGTGTTATATAGATCTTCAAGGAGTTATACATCTGTGTATTTAAAACAGTCTTCTGCCCCGAAATTGTTCAAAAACCATTTGGACTTGGTATTTCTTCTTTTTCGCTCGATACCTTGATTCATTAATTGAAATAACTTTATGTATAACTGAGACATCAAAATACAAAAAAAGAACATATTCAGTTGAGTTCACTCGTAAGCGAAAAGAATGGAAGTATATTCAAAGACGGAAAGAAATGAGAAAGAATGGGAGGGAAATTTTGGCAAAAATTATTTCAACTTCCTAAAACAAATATGATTGTTTTCATCTTTTTTAATACAGATCGGGTCAAAGAGAATAAGGAATACAATTCATCGGGATATCGGAATCTCAGTTTTCATGGTTACATTTTGGTTTTTGTACATTTTCTTATAGAACGTGATTATACATTCGTAGCTTTCATAGAGATTTTCACAGTGGATTGGTCCGAATTGGCAAGATTTCGATTCGAACCCAACATGCTTCTGATACGTTGACGAAGAGTTGTGCGATCCGTGCTTGCAGAACTTAAGCTCACGTCACCTCTGAAAATGAAATTATAAAAATATATGGAAAAGTAAATGTATCTCACCTGATATCATCTGCAGTCTTCTGTTCTTCTTTTTTCGTCACAAGTTTCTTAAGCCATTGAACGTCAACTCCCAAAGTGTGACGTCCAATTGAACCTCTTCCGTGTTTCTTTCTGCGTTTACCAGCTTCACGAGAACTAATCTGCAATTAGAAGTTGATTACGACTTCAGAATTTCAGTAACTAACGGGTAGTTGTTCATATGGACTGACTGGTCTGTTCTCAATTCCATTTGTAACAATTGGGGTGTTGTTGTTCTTCTCTTTCACTGGTTTATCAACTAAACCATGTAGAATCAGTTGCTCAGGTTTTGATTTCATCGGAGACGGAGGCAGAAGCTCCTGGATGGTCGCTTCTGTTGGATCAGTACTCCGAGATTCTCCCATAAGATATTCCACGCACTGAGCTGATGCAACACGAGCGAACGTCGAGCTCTCCAGTTTCAACGCAACCGTTGGCTCCGTGTCCATAGCTTCAGATGAGCTAATTGAAGTTGTGGATACCAATTGAATCTTCTCTGTTTCAGACTGCTGAAGGCCGCCAGGTGGTGTGGAAGGTTCATTATTTAATCCACGTCGAGAAACATGATAAGCTACTACAGATGCATGATCCAGCTTTCCAGGCATATCAGCTATCCTCTCACGGACCATTTTTCTTCTGAAATACTTGTTTATTAATTTTTGTATTCAGAATTAAATTTTCAGAAAAAAACACTCTCTAGGAAAGATATTGAGACTTAAAACTGAAAGAGTCGTTATTACCTGGCTCTTTGTTCTGCCTTGGTCATCTTGTCTCGTTTGTACAACTCTGGATTTTCCAATACTCTGCGTTTTGCCCTGAAAAAATCAAAACCATATTTAGATCTTTCTCAGAGAAACTCACATGGACAGTTGAGTCGCAAAATGAATGAGACGATGACAAAGAGTGGATGCAGTAACTGGTGGATACAGATATTCCGATTCTGGTCCTCTTGGAGTTTCGTTTCCAAATCCATTTGCAATGACATCTCTCATTCTGACCAACATTAGCTCATGACGTTTTGCAGCATCTACACATGGAAGAGAAGCAGCACATGGACGATTTCTGGCATATTCTGAGTTCTTATCTCCACCACGTGTTGATACATCCAAGGTTCTATCTTCTCTTGGACGAAGAGCATTCTCCTTATTCTCTTGTTCAATTTTCTTTATGACGCAAAACTTTCCAACAACTGGATCAAAGTTATCTGAAACGCCATCAGAAGTAATGAATACAACGTCTCCTTCTTCTACGAATGTCATTGAGCAAGTTAAGTTATGAAGTTGCGGATTCCTTCCATCGACTGGTCCAAGAGCACCTCCAGCATCTCTCATATCTCTCATTTGATCAATATCATGGCTTCCCAGTGTCACTTCTCGAACTCCATAGTGGCGATTGTAGACGAAACAAAGAGAGTCTCCGACATTACAGACACAAAGAGCCCATCCATTTCCACGTTTAACTGGAGCGACTAGAGCCACACAGAGAGTTGTGAGCATGCCTCCTTCTTGAAGGATCAATGAATGGGCTGAATGGAAAGCAGCAAGCATTTCATGGAATACTTCTGTAGTATCTGATAAAGAATCTTTGATTACTCGAGCATTCAGATGATCAATTGCTCCTCGAATTGCACATCTTGCTGCTAATCTCGCACCTTCACCCCAGTTGACACCATCAGCCAATGCCAAAACGCCGTTGTTACTTCTTCCAACAACTCCCCAAACATCAGCAATTGGCTCGCCAGCATTCACTCCAGTTATTGGATTCTTCTCATATAAGGACACACTCATTCCATATGCTCCTTGCTCGTGATAAGCGCTCCAATCGTAGTCTTCAGCAGACGGTCGGCCTGCACTGAAATCATGATGCTCTCCATTTGGACCAAGAATAGAGGAGCACGATCCGAGAAGTAATGAATGTCGTGAGCTCTTTTTCAGATTCATAGAGATTGGAGCATCTAAATCTTCTTCATCTTCTGCTTCCTCGTCCGTGGTTCCATCAATTGACAACGACATCTCATCATCAATATTTGCCATTCGAACCATCTGAACTCCTTGTCGAACTTCTCCAACTTCTGTCAATCCGCCTTCTGGTCCAGTGTAGGATCCGAAAACATCTCCGTCTAAAGCTTCCAACTGAATTGCTGGTAGGTCTAACCCAGTTTTTCCAAAATAAACTTCTGGGAATTCATGTCTACGAAGATCGATTCCTCCCAAGAAATTCTGAAGTTCCGAGTTGTCATCTCCACGTGGTGTAGTTGGTTCATCCTGAAAAACGTAATAGCTACAGTAATCTGTTTCTAGTTATAGACATCTTTCTTTCTAACTTCTTTTAAGTGTTCCCTTCTCGTGACCAACTTCTGTTCCTCCACTACCGCGTTTTCTTCTTCAAAAGCCAATTCCGCTACCGATTTAACGACTATGTTATCATTAGTTTCGGTGACTGACCAGCGCCTCTTCTCAGCCCTCCAAGAGGCCGTTTTCAATTGGTCTATTCATCAATTTATCTCTTCATTTATCTTCTTGATCAGAAAAGAAGAAATAGGAGAGAGAAGAAAAAAGAAAAGATAGATTAAACTAAATGAAACATTTGTTCAGATGGAGATCTACCTGATTTTCGTTATCCAGACTTGTTGATGGTCCGAACTTATTTCGAAGAAGACCGCGTACGTGCTTCCGAATAAATGATGAAGGCATCGTTACCCTGGAAATTGGAATTTGATATACGATTTCAATGAAACGAGAGACAAAAAATTCAGAAGGAAAAAACTGTCAAAAAAAAAACTCAAGAAGACCCCCCCCCCCCACACTGTCCAGTTTAACCTCAGTTATCTCGACTCATATAAGAGATATCAAAAATCTGTCAACCGATAAAATGTTTGTGATATTATAACAAGTAATTCATTAGTTAACAACTTATTGATATCTTTAACAAGAGCTGAGATAAATTGGCTCAAAGTTGAAGGTTGAGGGGGCCTTCTATACAAAACTAAACTGCAATGTTAGACTAATTTCGACCTTTTTCTTTAATACAACAAGACATACAGAATATGAACATTGTGATGAAAATTCAAAGTGACAAATATAATAAGACGGAATGAAAAAGGGGAGAAAAGAGAAGTACTCTCTCAACCCAACCATCTCTATTTTGAAACTAGTCCTAAAGTGGTTGTTTTTGTTTCTATTTCAAGTAAAAGTGGCGCCAAATCAACTGTCGGTATTACGATTTCGAATTTTTCGGTTTCTTCTTCTCAATGGATAGCATTAAAAAGCAGAACCCATGTTTATTCAAAATGCAAAAAAAGAACAAGAGTAAAAAAAACCGGAAGGACAATTATTGGGGAAAAGAAGATGGGGAGAAGAAAAAGATTTATTGGCAACGGACACGTTTCTGACAAGCGTGAACACTAGCGGAATACCTTTGAAAAGACATTCAGAGACTGGGTTAGTATATAGATTGACTAGATATTCAGAAAGGGACTCAAAAAACATCAAAAACCACACAAATACCTTTGAAATATGAGTCTTAATACACCAACTTGTTTTACGTTTCCTAATTTTCTAGAAAACAAGAGCATAAAACTAAAACAACTACTGTTTTCAGACAAACAAAATGAAGACACTCCATACAAAATGAATCTCTCTGTGAGGTAAAAAAAAGTATAGATATAAATGTATGGTGTCAATAAAGAAACAGGGTGTGTGCTCATGTGTTTGTAATAGGGATAGTACACACATACAGGCTGTCCCAAGACAGTTTTCATTCAGAAAAAAAGGGATTCATATATTCAGGCGACGTAGTCAGTCATGTGGAGATGTGTTTACACTGTGTCACCCATTTGAGGAGAACGTTTGCACCACCGCCCATTAATAGATACCTATTATCCAGAGACATCATGCCAAAAGCCAGTTTGAATATAATCGAAAGAACTGTACAAGTTTGATGTGAAATGCAATTAGTTTACGATTTTATGAGATGACGATAGTATACGAACAAACTAAGAATTATCAATAGTAGAGTACTATTTACGAAGTAGGCAACGATTTTGAGAATAAAGTCAGTCTGGAGAACAGGAAGATCCAAGGACAGAATGGGTTATGTTTCAGGAATAGTGTTAATATTGAACACGTTAAGCCATGTTTACAAACTAGATAATAAAAAGATAGTGTCTCAAGTGCTCTTTCTTGAAGCGGAACCGAAAAACTGAACACACACCCCCAAAAGGGCGTCCCGACCATGTTCCTATCTCAAGAGTGACCGTTTGAACGAAAGACGGAAGGAGAAGGACAACCTGAAGGGACTGGAGAGAGAGAGTGTAAGAGGATTTGAGAGAATGAGACAGTTCTGAATAGAGAGACAACGAGACGCAGGTGTAATAAAGGTGGAAAAAGAGTGAAGAGGCACAAAAAAAGCACAGCCAGTCGGGCCTACGAACGGAGAAGGGACACGACAAACGAAGCAGGCTTGCTTTACTTTACTATTTAGCTTGGCATGGTCCAACGGGATCAATCTTATATTCCTCCATTGCATGGCAGATTTCAAAAAAAATATAGCATTAGAAGAATTTTCCTAGTCGGAAGTACAACTTTGATTTGATCTAAAAAAAGATTTTAGAGCATTCGGAAACAAAAAAAAAAGGAAGAATGAGGCAGTCAGTCAATCAAGTAAGTGTCTTCTGAGCAAAAAAAAAAGAAGAAGAAAAAAGGGATGAGAATGAACGAAACGGGAATGATTGAGTGTTTTACTAAAACGGAAAACGACAAATTTTGGAATGTGCACTAAAAGTGCATTCTTTGGGCACAAAGAGTTCAGAATGGACTTTTTTGGAAGTTCCCCAAAAATGTTCAGAAAAAAAACAGATTCCGGCATTTTCAAAATTGTTCTTCCAGAATCTTAGATTTCGTTTTGAAACTTTTCAGGGTGTTAATTTGGTACAAAAAACGGAGGTGTGGAAGAGAAACGCCGGGGTCGTGGCCGAAGGCCACACAACGACAACTAACCCGACTTTTTAAGGGAAAAATGACAGAAAAATCGACAAAAAACATTTTTAGGTTACGGTAGTTGTCGTTGTGGGACCATCTACCATAGCCAATGGCGTTTCTCTTTCACACCTTCGGTTCTCAAAGAGTTTCAAAACAAAATCTAAGATTCAGGAAGAAACGGATTCCATAATTTTCAACTTTTTTGCATTTTTGACTATGAGAAACGAAATATTTAATAGTTTCGCTAAGAGATCACAGCAACTTAACGAGATCCACATGTCAATGAGTAGGATTGTTGGATTGGCCTTGAATACAGAAAACACATTATTCAAACTTGCACTCATTGTTTTATGAGGTTCGGAAGATTAAGCAAAGGAAATTAAGTTCTGGGTTTTCAAAACACATTTATAATGATTCCAAGATCTGGGTGATGCGTCACAAGATTGGGTCCAGGTCACCAGCCAGAAAATAATATACTTTCAAAAATATCTCTTATTCTTCTTCTGTTTTCACTCATGAGAAGCCATGTGTTGGAACGATGTGGCGGAGGAGAGGATTATAAATGAATTAGACACTTTCTGAGGCCAGAAATTTTGGGACGAGAAGAAAACGGAGGAGAGCATAAACATTTACTTGTTTACGAATGAAGCCTCTTTCTCTCTCATAAATGGGTTTTAAGAAAATGAAGAAGAAGAAGAGAAGGAGAGCTTTGAAATTGACACTGAAACAACGAAAATACGTTTTTGAAGTGGGTTGAAAACGAAGAGAACGATGTTGAAGAACAAAGAATTGAGCCAATTTTACGACGAGCACTTTCCATCTTTTTATGTTTCTCCTTCAGACGTATTATTCTTTGTTCCACACGTTCACAATGGCACCTACTTATGACACAATTTGAAGAGAGTTTACAAGAAATAACATTCCTAATGGAACATAAAAAGTGTCTTCTAAAGATGTTTTTTGGAACGTCTTGTAAATGCGCTCAAATGCGATGACCGTAATTCTACAGTAAAATTATCGTTTGGTCTCGACGCGAACGCTTCAAATTGAACTGCTGAGACTCTACGCAACGGTGCCTGCATTCCATCGAAAAACGCGCGGAAAAGAACTATTCATAAACGTTGCGGAAAAAACACACCGTGTCTTCTCCTCGAATAGATTCGAAGTTCCGAATTGGATTATTTTTTGAATTGGAAAAATATCTCAGACCATCATTTGATTCGGAAATTGTGCACTTAGCCAGAGAATCAATCATCTGGTTCACATAGCATTTAGAAAATCTAGAAACACATTTGGAAACACTTCATAACGTATTAGAATGAATCGGACTGGCTACAGTAGTTTATGTTCAGAGGGGATAGAGAGGATGCGCGAGAAATCGAGGTCGAAATTGAAATGAAATGCCGAACACAAAGAGTGAATAGAGTCAATGATTTGCATGCGAAAAGCCAATGGAGAGAAGGAGAAGGAGGAAGGGGGATTATTCAAATAAACTCATCTCTCCATTCATCATTACAAATTCGTCTTCGACGATGCTGTCAAGGGGGCTTGTTTTGATTGACTGGACATAGTCTGATTTGTTAAAACATATTTCAGTTAGTTAGAGTTTTCAGATTCAAAAACAGAAAACTTGAACTATGCAAAAAAAGTAAGACTCAGTGAGACAGACACCAGAATTCTACGAATCAGGAAGAGAAAAGTTTTTTCTCGAGCTTAGTGAGCTCGAGAAAAATATAAAAAAATGGACAAAAAGCGCGCCCATTTCGCTTGACCACACACACAAAAATGTCTTCTTCGTTTCCGTTTTTTCATCCTCCCTCTCCTCCCACTTTTCCAACAAAAGGTGTCAAAATACGCGGAAACAATGAGGGAGAGAAGACACACACATAAACACAGTGACCGGAAAAAATTGGTTGAAGCAGCTATGGGATGCACGTTTTCTCTCTCTCTCTCTCTCTCTCTCTCTCTCTCTCTCACACTTCAATTTTATACAACATCTTCTCTGAAACATTTCTACGCATCACGTTGCGCATGAATAATAAAAAGAATGGGTGAAGGCAGCGTCCGACGTCTTCTGCAGAACAGAAGGACAACGAGATGATAATTGTGAAGAAGCAGGAGAAGCGTTTGAACATAATTATCGGACGATATAAAGTCAATTAACCTCTTGGTCAATTTACTGCTCTTTCTAGAACTAAATAGTAGGTGGGACTAAAGAGTTGAAAGCTCATAGATGAGGTTTTACTGTTTAAATCTAGTCTTTCGTAAGAAAGAGCATTTTTTTAGAGAGTTCTAGAATAATGGAACCAGACTTTTCACATCAAGATAATCGAAGGAACATCATCTTACAGGGTGGCACACAATTACACGAACTGATACAAACGAGTATATCTTTAAACATGAGTATCTTGGAATCATGAATATCGGTAGAAATAAAATTTTATATTTGATTAAAAGCTACTGAAATTTTCAAAGCGATTTCTCAAGTCTAGGTATTGTTATGATTGTCCAAAGATGAACGGTGTCCTGCAAGTCGTTGTGATTTTTCATGGCATTAAGCGAATTTGATAAGCTATAACTCACCATCAGCTCAAAGTAGATTAGATAATTTGAAACTTTACCAGTTTATTATTTGAATATCAGCACTCCAAATTTGAGCCCACTACAACAATTCAGTCTAATTTTATGCTAGTGCAAACTTTAGTCCGGGTAAT